ACTGAATAGAACGATTAATAATTAGCTGTATTGATAAAGAATCTATATAAAAGCAATTTTCACGAAAACAAAATTTCCTTTATGTTTTAACTATTATAATTTACACACCTAATATACACTATGCACTTAAAACTTATAAAGTGATCGAAAAATTCGAAAAAATATTCAAATATTCACTTTTTAATAATTATCTGCCACATAAATTATACAAAAATTAAAACTAATTGAAATTTCTGTTAAGAACTGTTAAGACTTTTGAATTTTATATCAAAACGAGTTGTTATTAACAATCGTTAAATATTTGGGGAAAAAAAACTACGACCCTTAAGGTATTTTCCAACATTTGAATTGTTATGTAGTCCTCCAAGTTCGCATTTTTCCTTTTTTAGAATTTTCCATTTAGATTTTGTGTGGGTCCATATATTTCCCGTATAGCATATTTTTCCTTTCGAATGTAATCGCCATTTTTACACAGCATATTCGTAAATAATATTTGTCGGCCGCGATATAATACTTGGAGACCACCGAAAGTTAAAATACGACATCGAGAGAACTCTAGTAAATTTTCAATAACGCCGTCGGGCGTGTATACTGTGGCGGTTTGTTTTTAACCGTTCGTAGCAGCTATACTGTTATAGTATAATAATATATTATAATATGATTATTGCGGTTACAAAGTTTATATTTTAATGTGTGATTCGTGTTGAATAATTTCTCGGTGTCGGCCAAACCACCACCCCCATCCCCGTATAATATAAGGTTATAATACTCACCATTATGTATGTGTACATATATAATACGAATTTTAATATCGCCGGCGCGCCATTTGATTCGTGACCGAAATTCAAATGGATTTATTGAAAATAATATAGGTAATTTAGGTATACTCGACCGAAAACTGCATAATATACACATGCCTAAATAAACTAAAGAACGGATAGATTTTAACCAATAGATATCTAATTTATATGCGTCTATTACAATAATCTCTTTTAATATCTCGCCTTCCAAAAATTTTACTTCACGATGGAAAATACCTTTATGATTATAATATTATTGCAACATTTTCCCTGCAATATCAAATTCTTGGTCCCAGAGAAAAAGAGTTTTAATAGGAACGTTTTTTTATAATTTTGAATACAAGTAAATTAAGTTTTGAAAATTACTAAAAAAAATATAATGACATAATTGCTAAACAGCTAAAATCCTAAATGACTTTACATAAATATGGCGTTCTAAATGGCTTAATTATTTGACTAATGACTTTTTACTGCACAAAAAGTACATCACCGTGATTTAAAATATTTTAATTTTCATTATAACACGTGATAGAATATACATACAAGTACAATTACCTGTACCGTTATTAAAACCAAACCATAAAGAGAAAAAATAATATAAAACAAAATCATAGAAAAAATAAATACCAACAATTTATTTAAGCCCTTCTTGCACGAAACCCAAGAAACATTAGCTCGAAGTATAATATGAAATCACACGATAAATACAAACAAAAAAAAACCAACCAACATTTATATCTGTTAGAAATATCAGTAGAATTCGATGCTAATTTTCGAAACAAGATCCAACGATAATAATAACATTTTCAGACTGTTGGTTTTTGAATGTGTTTATTATCATTTTGATTGAAAATCGCTGAATTTTAGACGACATCGTTACTTAAACGATTACATTATCTTACCAAATATAAAATAAAGAATGAACAAAAATGAGAACAAGTCTATAAGGAATGTCCAAAAGAATGGTTTATCTATTATTTTATTATCTACATACATGATATGTATATTATCAATCAAAAAATAGATCCTAATCGAACGAAACGGAATTGTATCGATGATTTACCTATAGGTACATAATAATATACACTAATTGCATTTAAGTTTAACCTTCCCAGAAACATCCCATTTCGATCCATAATTCAACAACCTTTCACCATCGGGAAGCATTTCGACGTTTCATTGATCATTAACCATTTACTCCCTCCCCTCTTCAGAGAATTTCAGTAATCTCATTTTGGACCTAAAATCACCCACTTTACTAACCCTCCCCTTCCATCAAGGTGTCACTGTAATATTTTTGTCTATCATATCTAATTTGCATCCAATAGGACCAATTTTGTGCTTAGTTTTAATATTGGAACGAATTAACATATTGTTCAGCTTTAAAGTAAGAACATTAACGAGATAATACAAGTGAGTGAAATATCATAATTTAAAAACCACTTATAACTCGCTTAAAAATTTAAATGTTGAGAAAACTCCGACTTATAGACACACAGATAATGTTATTACCCCGGTATTTACCTTTAAGTTTGATAATAGGTCTGAAACATGAAACAAGTGTACGGACGGAGACAACACAACATGCGGGTACCAATGAGATCCTCTTAAGTTTTAGCACTTTCAGCTTAAATATTCAAGGAAATGTCGGTTCAAACGAATTACCGGGTGCGGTAATGAGTCAGAGAATTTAATACTCTCATACCTACCTATTTAATAATTTTACGTGTCGAGGGGTAATTATATTATCGTGTTCATACAAATGAGGTATTGCAAATAGAGGAAAACACCACTAAAAATACCTTAGAAACCTTAGAAAATACCGTTTGACACGACCAATATTTGATAATTTTCGTTATGAAATTTAAATTAGTTCGCTGTTAAAACCAAAACCAAATAATCTAAATTCACACATTATATTGACATGCTATAAAAGGTCGGATTGAGGAACCAGTGGGCTCCAAGTCCAAACTTGAAAACGGACCCTCATTTTATGTAAATGTTTATATTATGAAAAAGGAGGCCTACCCTGGCTATCTTAATCCGGCCTCGACAATATAATAATATTAAATCTAGCGTCTAGCATGTCACATATCACGACTAAAAGCATTATATAAACGTGAAAATGTTTAAACACGACCGTGTAAACATATATTAAATTTTAAACCAAACGGCATTTTACCATCGACCTTTAATTTTTGAGGATATATGATCTATTTAATATTGCTTACAATGCTACACACTTAATCCAACAGTTGATTTCTTATCAATCGAAATGCACAAACTCAACAATAGTTCCGAATAAAAACCGCGACAGCAAACGAAACGGGGAATTGTTTCAACCAGTTCAAAGGCGCAGTTTCGTTCTAGTGTAATCGTGAAAATTGACCCCGTAATTATGAATAATACCCCCTTTGTATCAGAGAATAGATACCATCCGATAAATAAGACTATAAATCCAAGCTATGGGTACGTCTGATGCCTTTTTAATAGCCCATCGCGAGGATACGAATAAATCAGAAAAAGTGTTCTTAGGAAATATAAACCCGGGAAAATAATTTTTTGGAAATATAAAACCCGAGAAAAAAAATGCACAGGAAAATAAAAACAGGGAAATTAAATTTCTGGAAATAATATTATAGAGGAACATTTTATACGTATAAGAATAGAAAATTGTAGATCATATTACGCGAGAAAATATTTACTAATAGAAATTTATAAATTCGAAAAATATTATTTAAGAATATAATTATCAATAAAAGCCAGTTAATAAGTCACGACTTGCGACGAAAAAACCCGTAATCGGTAATACGGGAACTCGATTTAGTTGTCAAAACGATAAAAGTACAATAATTTCATTCGCAAATCATAATTTTTTTCAGATTTAAAATTACTTAGAAATATGCATTTTCCCGTATATTTTTTGAGCTTACATAGGTACAAGTTCTTGCACTAAAGTTTTCCTTGATTATCGGTTCTTTATTTACATTAATTTTTCTATTTTTATTTTCTCAGGAATTATCACTTTTCCACATTTTTACTCTATGGTAATTTATCATTCCTTTAAAATATTTTCCCGATTTATTCAGCCTCCCGCCAGCCGTGAGTTCGTCTATACGGATCATAATGAATTTCCCGAAACACTTGACCTACCTCAACGATAAACTATATGTGCAAATCGCAAGGTTTGCGGATCAAAGTGCCGGGACTCACGACCAAAAACCATAATATAATACTACGTAACCGTTATAATTTCATAACTACAGTCGGAATGTTTATACACTAAAAAATTTAATTGAATTAAAAATGATCAGGTAGTACTATTAAAAAAAAAAAAAGATTCAGATAATGTTCTTCTTAGTGTGTTGTAAAAATATTCTACTATGAATACGGAAAGAATATTGAGTTGTCCCTCCTGCGCAAATCCCTTTTTACCATAGAATTACGAAGAGTATCTATCACTGAACTGAATCTGAATCCGAATTGGATATTACCTGTGTTTTATATGATGTATTGAAATTTATTTTTAGTGAATAAACATCCCAATCCTAAGCCACTAACTAAGCACCCACTTGCAATAGAAGAGTCTATTGTCGTTGGCCAGGTGTACGCTCCATCCCGGTATCAGTCTGTTTTGTATAGACTGAAGGAGGTGTGACGTGTTCTTCTGGCCGTGAGCGCCGTGTCCCTGCTGCAGCAACATGGGTGCCAGGAGTCCGTCGTCAACATGTCAACATCCACGGTCGAGAACACCGTCGGTCCGGCTGATAATAATTATTGTTGTAGACCGTGGCCCGCAGCATGATAACGTACCGAGCGTGTCCGGTTCGCAACGAGTCACTTTCACACTCGAAAGAAATAACAACAATAATATTATTACCAGTTTTACGGCGGAAAGTCCGGGCAATCGAATATCCGCTGGCCGAAACGGGTAGGCCGGGCCAATAAAACGGACACCACGTCCCCGTATATGCCGAATAAAATCACTAATACCCGCTGTATTACCCGGTGTTTATTATACCGCGGTGTCGGGAACGGAACGCGGTATCCAACACGGGGGATGTACCGCGATATATTATGATGATAATAATATTATTATACGACACACGGCGACGACAAGAACAACGAGCAAATGTAGGTAACGGCGAAGAAAAAAAAAAATAAATACAACAACAATATTATTATTGTTATTGTCGTAATATGTACACTACGAGCGACGGACTCGACGGCGACGGCGACGGCGGCGGCGACACGGACGACGACGACGGCGGCGCACGATCGACGGCGTTTGAACGGATAATGGCACTGTGCGCTACTATCACACACGGGGGACACACACGCCGCGCGCGACGAGGAGTCGGTATTGCGTACGCTCACGCACAGGCGTCGGTGCCAAGGGTCAGCGCAGACCGGGGCGTGACTACGGCGGCGGGCAACGTGCGCGCAGTGCGGCCAAATCGCTGGCGAAACACTGACGAAAAGCTCGGAGCCGCCGCCGGCAAAAGCTCCTACCCCTGTCCGCCGCCACCACCGTCCTAACAACCGACTCGTTTTATTATACACGCACTCGTCAACCCCGCAGCCGGTCCGCGCCTTCAAAACCTACCCACCCCCGACCCACCCTAACGGCATCATCGTCACCGCGTCGCGGTCGTTCCGCGGAGCTTTTGACGAACGAATATCATAACTGAAATAATAATAACAATATTCAAAAGTCGACTAAGAATAAATCGTATTACCTACTACGGATTTTTTTTTTTTACCATCGATAGGTTTTTCGAGTCTCCGACCAAGTCCGCGATTTCGCCTACGTCCAAAACTACGAAAAAAAAAATAGTAAAAAATAATACCAGCCTTTTTGGCAACCCCATAATATATTTAAATAAAATAATTGAATACAGTTGAGTTAAATATATAGATGGCATAATACAAATACACATAAATGTATAGAATAAAAGTATAAGAACTTTTTCTTTTAAAGGTGCATTTATCTTTTAGACACTCAAATCTCAATCTAAACTATTTATATTATTATGTAAATACCGACCTAATACTTAAATACCTGCAGTGACATAATAAATATACCTACAATTTTTTTCTAAAGGCTTAAGGTTTTTCTTTTTTTTTTTATTTAAAATTATGACGCGTATAATATAATAATATTTTATTCGCTCAACTCCACGCAAAATAGTTACGTGCGTTCATTTATAATATTGTACAAAATTTAAACGCGGCAATAAACCGCATGTGATGATATGTATAAGTCTACGAGTCTACAGCCTTACCCCTGAATGATGCTCAGAATACTTGTGGCGCTAATGGCATGCTCTGAAATTTTTAATTAAGATATGTTTGGAAATAGAAATAGAATTATTTTACTGGAAATCGTAAAATAATTGATTGTATTTTTTTAAAATATATCAAAAATGAGTTATGATAAAGAGAATTCAAATTAAAAAAATTATTCCAACCTATCCTAGTAAAGAACCAAAATAATCATTATTCGTCTTCAAAATTGATATCCATCAAATACAATTCCTACAATTCCGTGTAGATTTATGTCTAAAATGTTAAAGTCGTCAGTAAAAAATGCCGTATAAAGTAGAAAAGTATTATCATTAAAGTAGTCTTAAGTGTAAACAAATCCCTTTAATTGACCCAACATACTCATTTCTTGCAAATTCATGAAACATATTTTTAGATTCGAAGCGTAGCGAGGAATGTATTGGTTTTACAATGAAGTTTTTTTTATCTCCGAACAACTTTTCTACTAGAAGTTTTGCTCCGGTTTCAAATATAGTACTTTTTCTGAAATGGGATTTTATCTGGGTGGAACTTTAAGCAAATCATTTTTTGATTTTCTAAGTGATTTTCATAATAATTGGGAAAAATCGGTGAAAACCTAGGAAAAACGGGAAAATGTATGTACATATATAAAAGAAATTTCCTTACGAATCGTTTTTCGTTAGGAAAGATTTATCGTTATGTACAAATATAAAATAATTCCCTTCTAAATTCTAGCTTCCCAAATTCTCATATACAACAATGGCCCACCCATCGTGCGAAGTATGTCTGTCTTTTTTTATATAATATTGAATTAAAATAAATTATATAAAAAGTACATAATTAATAAAAAATTGTAAATTTCTATTGGATTCGATTATGTTTTGTTGATGTATCTAATGAACAAATTGACCTTATATACCCACTCAAACACCCACCCACTTAAGTGTAGAATTTTTGTTTGAATTACCTTAAATAGATAGGAACACACGTGTTTGGAACCACGGCCTATAGAGAGAAAGTATCTATATAATTATTAATTATAGTATATAAAAACGACGTTTTATCATTTTTTTAAAACATCATTAGGTAATATGAAACAATATAGGTGGGCCCGATCATTCAAAATTCGGAATCATATTTTCAGTTTGACCTCGACTACCCATGTCCCATAAGAAACAGTATTACAAAATAAAAAATAGTTTTTTTCCAATAAATAAAAGTATACCTCATATTACATAAATGTTTTTATTTGAACTTTCAAATCGAAGTTTAGCTGCAAAAAAAGTTTACACGCGAAAGGTTTTTTAAATGTCTACACTCTTATTTCCATCATAACTTGTTTTACTCAATCAAATTCTTTAAGTTTTTATACTTAAACTAAGACTAACTATAAAGATTACTATACACGTATAGAAAACTTATACAGAAAAGTCCAAATTGAAAAACAACACCGAAACGGTTAACATAATATTTATTACAACTTTTCGTTTATTCGCCTTTGATAATGCTATAGACATGGGTAGTGAATAAACCTGTAAATAGTGAAATTTTGATTGCAATACAAATATGAGAGAAAAATACTCGACAATTATTAAGATTATACCTGCACTGTTACAATTCTACTAAAAAGTTAGTGAGTAAACAAAATAGCAATAATTAATACAAATACAAAATTATTTAAGTTTTAATCCTTGCTCTGGGAGTTGGAAATGGTTTTCCAAATGGTCTTAGTTTTTGTAAAAATTATTTTTTACTTTTTAATAACCATCAGTGATTCCTTTTTAATTACAATACTTTACCACTAATCTACTATCCGATACTCATTTAAGGGAAAAGGGTACTTACGTTTTTACGTACTAATATAGCATTATAAATTATTCGATTAATTAGAGTAATATTCATCTACTACCGTTCGCCTTTGGCGAAAAAAGAGTAGGGCTTGATGGGTTTAACCCACCCTCAAATACAGCCAAGACTCCTCAAAAATTAAGTCCCTATGAAGTAAATATTAAATAAAAATAATCAATATTATATAGGGGCCTTAACTTTTCCAAAAATTATTTGGGTTTTTTGCGATTATACCACTCGTCAATTTTAATTATGAAATCGTTTTAGATTCTGAGCAGAATATTTGTTTTACAATGATGTTTATTTTTTATTTTTTTTTTATTTTTTTTTATCTGTGAACCCTTCACTTTTCTATCGGCAATTTTGTTCCGATTTTCAATTGCAGCACTTTTTATAAAAGGAAATCTGACTGGGTTGATACTTTAGTAAAGTCATTTTTTTTAATTTTCCCAGCTGTTTTCATAATAAATAGAAAAAATCGGAGGAAAACATGGGATAGACGGGAAAATAGGTACAATATTAAACAAATATTATTAAAGAAAATGTTTAATGCATAAGTAATTATTTCACTATAATATAAAACATATATTGTTGACAAAGCAACACTATTAACCGAACACCGCTTAAAATCCTTTTTCGTTTGTTGCGTACAGATATACATTAAATTTCCCCTCTACCTTCTCAACTACTCACCTATTACAGTGGCCCACGCATGTAAGAAATATGGCAATCTTTTTATAATTTTAATTCATTGATTTTCATCTATGTTTTATTTTTTTTATGTAAATTGTTGTTCGTTTTTTATTTAATTAATATAGTTAAATATTTATAATATAGATTATATATATAATACAGTTAATTAATAGTGAAAATAAGTACATAATGAGTTTACATTTTTTTTTTCTTAAAATGAAACTCGTACTTAAATTTTCACGAAAAGGGAACCTATTTTTTCTGTAAAACATAGACAAAAAGCATACGAAGTCAAATCATTTTTCAAAACAAAAATTGAAATACTGGAATTATGTTTATTTTACTCTAACTTATTCGTCTAAATATTCGAAAAAACGAATCACTTTCAACCTTAACCTAATTTCGTTTAACTAAAATTTGTTTTAAATAAATTTTGAGTTTAACAATTGTATTATGGTATAAATAATTATTTTTAATGACAGATATGTAATATTATTACTTGATGAATAAATTATTATGAAACATGTTTAATTTTTTAGAATTAAATCGTATTCATGGACCACTATATAAAACCGATTCGTTTGAACTTAAAAAGTTATTTTTGAATGGCTTATCCTTTACATGATTAGACTATTATTTATTTAGCGTATATATGGTTTAATATAATGTGTCTACTATATCTACGGAGATAGGGTACACTCAATAACTCAGCACCCTATAAATGTATTCGTATTATTAAATTCTATTTTTGGAACATGCAACTGATAGACTACTAGATCTTCGGAGTTGGAATTGTTTTAATTTGTTTGTTTTAAACAAACAATTTAAATTATATTATTAATTTTATTATTTAATATAAAAAACTATTCTCATTCGGTCAAATTTAAATGTAGAATATCAATAGTTGATGCAATAATATGTATCGAAATTGACTTGAATAAATTTCATCGATCCGCGAATATGATATTTTACTTATCCAAAACAGGGATTTTAAAAAGGTGATGCAGTGTTGCGTATAGTAAAATACGTGAATAAAATTAATTACAAGCCAGATTCACTAGTCTAGATGCATACTCCACAAACAGGTTTCTATATATAGCAGTGGTTCCCAACTCAACATTAGGCACGATCCACTATTATAAATAGTCCACCACTACGGATCACTACTTAATTCCACTCCCCCCTCTTACTTATTTCTTTATAATTTATAAGTTATACGTACATGAAAAATCAGTAATACAGTAAACTAACCACTTGAGTTGAGTTTATAAACCACCGGTTGAGAACTACTGATGTATAGAGTTCTGAGTTATAGAGAGTACCCTGTTTTCATAGACACACAGAGCAGACTAAACATTACTAACATTATATAATAAAATGAAAAAACTCTTCTCTAGCCAGCAACAGGTATAAATCAACCAGGTAACGGATTTAAGTCGATTGTGTATGTTGAAATTTTTAAAAAAAATCAACAAACCAATAAATAATATAACAGTTATTATTCGAATACTTAAGTGTAGATTTATATCTCAGTATATCACGTATCTGATAACCAAATGAAAATTAATGAAAAAATATAACTAGTCATTTAGTTTAGGTATATATAATTATTATGTATATAGTTAAACATGGCCAGACTATTATTATAAGATCATGCACCTAACCATTTTAGAATGAAAAATAATTATATCAAAGTAGATACCTAATATATA